CTAATGGACTAGAGCAAAAAATAAAGCAGAAAAAAGGCTGAGAAAAATCAAGTGCAGACTGAAACTAATCCTTTATGAAATAGTTTGATTTTTTCCATAGTCCATCATGATTATGATCATCATAATTGTTGTTGTTGTAGTTATTATTATTATTATTATTATTATTAACAACATTTATATCCTGCATTTCTGTCCTTACAAAGGCAGTCAAGGCAGCTAATAATTTAAAACATACATTATAAAATTACATTACAAAACAATAAAAAATCAACCTCCCTCCCACATATGTCATTAAAACAATTTTAAGAGTTTTTTTAAAAAAGAGTTAAAATGTAATAAAAACAGTTAAAATACATACAAAATGTAACAACATTGGTTGTGAAGGAAGGATCACTGAGGGAATGCCAAATGAAATTTTAAGTCTTCACCCATTGGCAGAAGATGGCAATAGAAGGGACAGATGAATCTTGCAGTGGGGCTATGATGAAGAAGGACCTCTCCTGGGTTGCCCTGTGACTAATCTCAGAAGTTGGGGATACCCAAAGCAGGGCCTCCAAAGATGACCATAATGGCCGAGCAAGTTCATAAGGGATTAAACCGTCCTTGGTTAATTGCCGTCACTGATCAATTCCGACTTTCAATAATTACTACTACAAGCAACTGTTCCAACCCATCAAAGATAACTTGTGTGTAGAAGTTGGTTTCTATATGCTTGAGGAATGTGTCTTGGGGGCAGTGTTCCTTCTAAGCTGAGATTGTGTGAGCTTGCTCACAGATTTTTAGCCTCTGGCTCCCACATTTTTTCTTAGCTCAGGAAGGATGGCCCCAGAGCAAACAAATTTATGCAGTAGCCAAATTGCTCACTCACAACTTTAATGCCACTAGCTCACAAAATAGAATTTTTGCTCATAAGACTCCACATCTTAGAGGGAGCATTGCTTGGGGGTACCACCCAATCCATATTGCAGTGCTCATCTAGGACTCATTCACCTAGTGGGGAACGTCTTGTGGTGTGCATACATCCCCACACAGAGATATAAGATGTTTGGGAATGTATGAATAGGCCTTTAGTCATTGCTTTTTTATATATGTAGGTATAGTTGACTTTTCATTTCCTCTGTTTTGACTGTTGATGTTCCCGATGTGTTTGTTTCTGTTACAGACCTTAGTTTTTTTTAACAAAGCATAGTTGTACAGAACTATGCACTTAATATGCCATTTATAAGCAACTGATGTAAACTAACATTAACATGTGTAAATTTAATGGTAAAAAATATAAGTAAACAGGAAAAGGAATCTAAAGACTCATAGATTCCCTTTTCACAAGTAACAAGCAAAAATGAAATGGAGTTTTCTAGTCAAAACTGTGGAGAAATTTCAGTAGCTGGACAAGGACTGAATTCTTTAAGTGAACATGACCCTTTTGAACTCCAAAAAATATCTTTTGCAAAACAAAACAATGCAGTTTTCAGGAAGGCCTGTGCATCCCATTAATGCCAGTGCATTACTTAAAAGAGGGGGGGGGACCTGATTCATTATTGTTCTTACTGGGAACATGCATATTTTCTCACTTTACCAGTATAATTATTCATATGACCCTACCAGAATTAACTCATTTAGTGTGTCTAAACTCATGGCTTTACAACACTTAGAACTGTCAGCTTCACTTATCACCAATTACCAGTTAAGTCACCAATTAAACACTTCATGTATTGGCTCTGATCCAACTCAGGTTCCTTACACTTAAGTTATTCTTAACTAAATTTGTAATAGAGGCAATGCTCTGTTAATCTGCAGACCCATTCCACACTTTCTTTTTGCTGTCAAGTTGCAACTGACATAGTGACCCTGTAGGGTTTTCAAGGCAAGAGATGTTCAGATGTCGTTTGCCATTGCCTGCCTCTGCATAGCAATCCTAGTATTCCTTGGTGGTATCCCATCTAAACACTAACCAAGTCTGGCCCTGCTTAGCTTTCAAGATCTGATGAGATCAATCTGTCCTGGGCTATCCAGGTCACATGTTACATGGTGTAAAACCCAAGTTGACCAGCATGTTGCTGTAGCCCTTAAGCTGGATCTCTGATGAGTGTGTGTCTATGATATACTTGCTTGTAGTTATTCACAGATTACATTTTAGGTGTACACTTAAAAACCTGCAAGCCAGAGAAAGCTATCCATAGGAGCAAAAAAAGTACTTGATATGGGGAATCCATGAACCAATTTCTCAACATTATAATCATATTTAAAAGCAGTGGCTGGGTCTTCAGGTTAGATTAGAACAGTGGCAATGAGGAAGGAGGTATTTAACTTTTTCTTCTTATGTCATTCAACCAAGACAGTGTAGAATCAGCATATTCTGGATGAATTTGCATTCCCCTTCAAAATTTGAGGTACTATTAGATTTGGGCCTACCAATAGAGCCTCAAGTCACCCTCCCAACCCACTTTGGTGTAGAGTGTTTTCACTGAGCTGTGGCTGGTGCACCTAGGAATGCCAGCCTCCAGCTCATCTCTAGACAGCAGAAACTAAAGTCAGACAATTAAACAATAAAAATTTTTAGTACCATGGCACTGTTGTAATATGTAAAAGAAATCCTGCCAAATAGCCATCTTCTATTAGTCTCTGGAAGTGAGGATATTATCATGCTATCCTGATGGTACTGCTCAGGATGGTACTGTTCAGGAACATTTTAATCAATAAGGTTTAATCCCAGGAAAGCATCCTTAGGATTGCAGCCTTTAGTCTCCTGTTTTACATGGTTGTTTTGAGTATACAAAGCATATTTGATATTAAGAAATTTTGAATTTCCTGGTTTTATTTGCTCTTATGAAGAAGATAATGAAAGTGAAGAACAAGAGGAAACTATCAATGGAGGAATAAATGTGTCTACTCTGAAGTCAGGTGGCGAATAAGATTCTAGCATTTAAATGTTTGGCAATGTTTAACATTGGCATGAAGATGCAAAAAAGGAACATATCATTGCTGGGGGTTATTTAGCACTTTATCTCTCTACTATGTGTTAATGAGAAATAAAATGTGAGAAGCAAATGAAGGGAGGCTCTTCAAAAGAATTATCATGCTGGAGTTGCATTTTATGGAGTCTTGATATGCTAAACGCAATCTGCCAGATATTCACCTGATATTGATCAAAACAGCTTTATTACAGATTACAGGCACTGAGGCTTAAAAAAAGTGGGTTATGCATTCTTACAGCAATATGAAATTATTCCTTTGGAGGATCTAAGGAGCTTCCTTATATTGAATAAAGCCACTCTTCTATCTAGCCAACAACTATTTATTCTGAATGGTGGTGGGTCTCCAGGGTCACAGGCCAGCCCTACTCAGATCCTTGCTGAAGATGCTAAGGATTGAACCTGGGATCATAAGTTTTTCTTTTCTTTACTTAAGAGCTCTCCTATACAGTTACAGTGGTGGAAAGTGCTGTCAAGTTGCAGATAACTTGCCTGCCTTGAACCCCGTTCATACGAGGCAGTTTGGGCCGGGAGCGGGCCAGATTGGAAGCGCAGCAAACGGGCGCAATCCCACGCCAACATCTGGCTGGCGTCGTGCTCCCGCCTCCAATCTGGCCCTTCCCCCGATGAAGCGCGGTAAAGATGAACCACCTACCTTCGGTGGTTCATCCGGATGGTCCGCTTCATCCCGGCCGTGGGATCAGCGGCGCATGTTGCCACTGTCGCATCCCCGGCCCCCTGCCGTACTGCGCATGCTCGAGCATGCGCAGTACAGCAGCCTCTCCCTCCGACTGGTATCTTCCTCCCCAGCATCTGATCATGCCGGGGAGCAACGGAGCGCGGCAACCGGGATCCATGGGATCCCGCCGGGGCGTTTCTTTTTTGGTGCGGCTTTTAAAAGCCGTGCTTTGCCCCGTCTTTTCCCTGCCGTGTGGCAGGGGCCTTGGTGTAGCATCCCTGGACTTCCTCAATGGTCTTCCATCCAAGTACTAACCATAGTTAACCCTGTGTCATTTCCAAACTGATTGGTTTAGCATAGGAAGGAGTATGGCAAGGATGTATATTGTCACCTTATATGCAGAGTACCTCCCTAGGCTCCACTTCCAAAATCTCCAAGTATTTCATAACCAAAGCTGGCAACTCTATGTTGTAATGTGAAATAACCCTAAATGTTTTGTGCTGTGAAATCTGTGGAACATCCTCTGAATGAAGAGTCAGAAAATGCACAAAAGTAAAATGAATAGGCCTTACCTGAAACAATTAACTGAATTTGGGGGGAGATTTTAGGAAGGAAGGAAGGAAGGAAGGAAGGAAGGAAGGAAGGAAGGAAGGAAGGAAGGAAGGAAAGAAAGTTCTCTGCCTGCAACTATGTCTGAGTTTTCATTGGCTCTTTTCTCTCCACAATATCACATCATGAATTCTGAATGGCTACTATAATTGATGCTACAGCCCCCAGGCTTGAAGACTGTAGTTTTTTTTTTTGGGTGGGGGGGAAGTCGCAGGCAAAACCCATGATTCAAAGAGCCATAGATAAACTTACAAACATCAAAAGAAGAGACTGGCAAAGGCTACTGTTCCTGTCAGTGATCTGAGGTTATTTTGTTCCAATGATTCTATATTATAATATGGATTGGCTGCTTCATCTGTCTGATGCCATCCTATTAGTTGTGCCTTGCAACAAGTTAATGCAGAGCAATGCATCAGGAAAAGAGGGAGATGAGGCTCTTTCCCCGCCACACTCCTTCTCAGACAAATACCAGCCAAGCTAATAGCTGATATTTTACAGCCTGGCTCTTGGCAGGTGTTAATGAAGGTAATGTGACAGCCAGTTCCTTATCTGGCAAGTTAATGTATTCCTAGCCCCAAACTGCTGACTTTAAAAAGCAAACTGAACAAACCTAGCATGCATTTAAAAGAAGGCTAAAACATCTTAATTGGTAGGCATTGCTTTTCTAATTTCTTCCCAGCAGTCTTCCTCACAGCAATATAACAAACATTGGACTCATGCTCTTATGGGCTGGGTGTTACCTGCCACAGTGGGTCTTTTTGCTCGGGGAAAAGATCAAAGTACTTGTGAGCCAGCTGAACTGGACGCAGAGTCTGGAACTTCAGGTTAGTCCAGCTTTGAACAAAGCTGGCCAGATTGACAAAGGTGTACAAACCCAAGCGGTCATTCCCGTAGTTGGACAAGTGAGTCATGAAGATACTGATCTGGAAGGCAAAACAGGTAACAGGCTTTGTTAGTTGTAGTAGCAGGAGGCTCTCAGCAGATGGCAGCAACTGTATTTCCAACCCTGAGGTTCTGGTTATTTAAAGAGTTCTACCACTCCTCCTCCTCCTCCTCCTCCTCCTCTTCCTCTGTTGTTATGCCAGGATTATTTTCTGTAAATTTATAGTCTGAGTAGTCAGAATCTTGAAAAAGAGAAAAGAAACCACAATTCCTGCTTTCCAAACCAAGATGTTGTACAGTTTTACACTGTTTTCACATGCCACATCCTCTTGGATTTATTGGCTTGCTCACACAAACGTCAGCATTTCACAGATCTCAATTTGTTCAGCCTGCCATATCATACATGCAGGCTCTAGCTTTCAGAATTTGCCACAGAGTCAACTTAAATTTGCAGACTGCTTGGCTAATGGAACAGTGGGCAACTGGGATAGCAGCATCTGAGCCAGATATAATGCATTCATCTTCTACAGGATTTCCCCCCCTACAGTGTGAAAGAGCATTAGAAGAATGCATTATAGATGCCTGTAATTTATTTACAACCCTAAAAAGTACAACATAGCTACAAAAAGTACCCTTTGACAATATGGATTAATTCTATATTGGCATGTATGGTCCTTTTGGGAAATAAAACCAGGCTACAGAAGCATTTCATTTCTAATTGCTCAGGTGTCAACAATGAATGCTGTGCAAAAAAGTCTTTTTGCAGATACTGGCTCTCTCTGAACCAATAGAAGTCAGCATTCTACTACACTTTAAGCAATGTACAACCTCTATTTTTACAAATTCTTGGTTCTTATCAGTGAGACATGGTTGACTGAGTTCTTAGTAGTAATGGAATCAATATTGCCCAACCATTAAGGCCCAATCCTCCAGAAACCAGTTTTTGTTTAAGCAACTTCCTGGGGATGTGACGAGGGGAAGTGGCCCATCCTATCTTGCTGACTCTCGGTGTAAGTGTTGCCCAGAGTCTCTCCATGTGTTCTGCTGGTTCAGAATACGACTCTTTTTCCCTTATAGTCATCCCTATTTTTCCACTGTGAGGATCGCTTCACAAGACAGGTCAGTATTGCCCAACCAATGAACTCCTGCTAATGTGAATGTTGCAGTACCTTTCCGTCTATATTTTTTAGATCTGTGTAATTGTGTCATGTTTGAATTTATTGTATGCTTGTGAACACTTCTCAGTAAAAAACCCAACTCTCTAAGATTTGGTCTCTGCATTTATTTCTGGGTTACTGGCCTAAAGTGGGACTTCTGCATACAAAGGTTATTTATATATCTAATTCCAGCAGGGGGTGGGTTGTGCAGATACTTATTTCTGCCAACAGAGGGCTCACTCTCCCTCAACAGCTTTTCCTACATAGTCAGTAGACTTTCTGTGTCTGCAGAAAAATCCAAGAAGTAAAAAAAAAATCACTTCAGGGAGGGTTGAATTTCCCCCAATACCTTTTGAAATGGCCTCTGCAGGGATCTAACTCCAGGTATCAACGGTGAGAAAGAGATTAGAACGTTCAGGGTGGGGGGGACTCTTTTAACTGGCTCCGTCAGTAAAAGGGTGGGGGAAGGGCCCTTTCCTGGCCTCTTTTGTCCTTTGAGGGAGGGAGGGAGAGAGCCTTGGGGTCAGGCCTGACAAGGGCTGCCAGTGCCAGCCTGGGGAATCCCTAGAGGTTTATAGGTGGACTGTAAGGTGGGCTGGGTTTTGGGAAGTGAGCTGGGTATAATGCCACCCTCCAAAGCAGCCATTTTCTCCAGGGAGATAGATCTCTGCTGTCTTGAGTTCAGTTGTAATTCTGGGGTGGTGGTCCTCCAGGCCCCACTTAGAGGTTGGCAACCCTAGGCCTGGCAGCAGTTTAGGGTTGCCAGGTCCCCCCCCTCGGCCACCGGTAGGGGATTGTGGATAAGGTTGCCAGATCCAGGCTGGGAAATTCCTGAAGATTTATGGGTGGAGCCTGGGGAGGACAGGGACCTCAGTGGGGTACAATGTCACAGAGTCCACCCTCCAAAGCATCCCCTATGAAAGCCAGTGCAGTGCATCAGTTAGAGCTTCAGATTAGGGTCTGCGAGACCCAGGTTCAGATTCCCATCTCGCGGTGGAAGCTGACTGGGTGATTTTGGACCAGTCACATACTTTCAGCCTAGCCAACCTCACAGGGTTGTTGTGCAGATAAAAAGGAGGATAGAATAATGTAAACTGCTTTGGTCCCCACTGTGGAGAAAGACTGTAATTTTCCTAGGTAGAGGCTGTGGGGGAGGGGTGTGGAAACGGAAAGCTGAAGACAGAGAGCCAGATAAAGATAGGTTGGCTGTTGGGTGGGAAGGAAATTGTGTTGCCAACTCCAGGTTGGGAAATTCGTGGACATATGTGGGGTGGAGCCTGGGGAGGGTGGGATTTGAGGAGGGGAGGAACTACAGATCAGTATAATACCATAGACTTCACCCTCCAAACCATACATGGAGGAGAGAGAGGAAGAAAGAAAGGGGGGGCAGAAGGGAGAAAGAGTGTGAAAGAGGTAGAGGGAGACAGGAGGAAGCAAAGGTGTGAGGAATAGGATAACCATCGTGCAAGTTTCTTGCGGGTCTCCACTTGTTATTCCCTATTTGATATATCAAAATTCCGCATCTTATTAATAAATCAAGGCAATTTGGCTAACACCCCCTCACTTAACTGAGGCTCTTCCAAGGGGCCTGTGGGGGAAAAGGGGGAAACTTGGAGGGTGCCACAGCCCTGAGCTCTGGCTCTGCACCTTCGGAGATGGACAGTATTTAAACCCTAGTCCTTCTTCCCATATGTTAGGCTGAGTCAGCTTCTGTTGTAGAGTGAGGATTTAAACCTGAGTCTTTCATATCCTAGTCCAGCACTCTAACCACAACACCACACTGGCTCTCCTTGTGGGCCTCTGGCTCGTCTATATTACAAAATATCCCACCCTGTAAGAGTGTTTCATAGTTTTTAAAGAGAGTTTGGGTGCAGCTCAGAGAACCTGAGGTAGTGGAATTTTCATGTTCCATGTTCCATTTAGTTCAGTGAGATGCACTTAATCTTTAGATTGTATAATCTTAAAATGATTTGTTGGGGCCCGATCTCATCATATCCTGGAAGCTAAGCAGGGTCAGCCCTGCTAGTATTTGGATGGGAGACCTCCAAGGAATATCAGGTGTGATGCAGAGACAGGCAGGCCAACCACCTCTGAACATCCCTTGCCTAGAAAACCCTACGGGGTCATCATAAATCAACTGTAACTTCATTACAAAAATAGTATTGTAAATGTAATGCCAGTATGTTAAAAAAATCACAGTTATAAAATTACATATAAACTAGAATGCATGTTTTTTCTGCACTGTAGCAAATGTATGTCCACCTTTCAAGCAGCCAAATGTGGTCACCTCAAGTGTTTCTGTGCACACAGGATAAATTTGTTGCTTTCTTTCTCCAGCCCTGTGTTAGCCTGACCTGCTTTATTTACAGCAGGGGCTAGCTGGGTTCTGGTCCTTGTATACAGAGGTCAGATCTCAATCCAGACGATCCCGCCCATAGAGACAACGTGACAAGGTGTCTGTATTAAAATCAGTTGTTCTCTTTACTGAATAATATTTAGTTTCACACACACACATACAATAACAGAATCATACACTCAAACATACAAGGTTCCTTTAGCATTACAGAAAGAATATAAAATAGTTCTCTTAGTTACTAAGGGTCTGGGGTAGGTATTCGTCAATACTTGCCTGATCCAGAAGTTCTGTCTGTAGTAGTAGAAGATTGGAGGCTAAGGAAAGGATCCCTGGGATTACTTGCTCTTCCACATTGCTTAGAACAAGCCAGCTAATGTGGGCATGAAATGGACTTTCCCAAGTCCATGTGGATTTGTGAGCATAGTCCATGGTGTGTGTCCTTGTGTAAGTCAATATTTACTCACAAATAAGTTCATCTTGTAACACCTGCAAGTTGCATTTAATGTTGATCTGGAGTAAGAAGCAGAGATGGTTTGCCATTGCCTTTCTTTATAGTCTTCTTTGGTGACCTCCCCCCGCTAAGTACTGACCCTGCTTAGCTTCTGAGATCTGATGAGATTGGGCTACACTATACCATTCAGCGTCTATCTGGAGGGTATCCCACTCCCTAGGAAAGGCTTTTCATGGAACAAAAGAAGCTATGGTAGGGGAAGGAAGTCTTCCAATCTAATTCTCAACATGGCCAAATCTGTAGATACTAAAATCCAGAGAGTGGAGCCATGAACAGACAGCTCTTTCTATGAACCTGAGAAAAGCCCCAGGTTTGTAAAAATAATCATAATCATAATCATACTACTACTACTACTACTACTACTACTACTACTACTACTAATAATAATAATAATATCTGAAATCTAAAAAAGAAAAAAATATTGGCTGTTTAACCCCTTCCCCAGAAACAACAGAAACTGTGCCTGTAGCTTTAAGAAACAAATGCCCTCTCAGTAGCAATCAGAGCCATACCTGCAACCACCAGGTAAGCTAATACCACACAACTTTTTGTTTCATTTGGAATACTGCCCAGTAATGGTTATTAGCCATCCTGCTTGATTCTAGTTTTGTTTTTATTTAATTATTCTATCATTTTAATGTTTTTAATTGTTCTAGAAGAGAAGAAGAAGAAGAGATTGGATTTATATCCCGCCCTTCACTTAGAGTCTCAGAGCGGCTTACAAACTTCTTTCCCTTCCCCTCAACAGACACCCTGTGAGGTGGGTGAGGCTGAGAGAACTCTGACACAAACTGCTCTTTCAGGAACAGCTGTGCCAGAGCTTGTGACTGATCCAAGGTCACATCAGCAGGTGCAAGTGGAGAAGTGGGGAATCAAACCTGGTTCTCCCAGATTACAGTCCACACACTTAACCACTACACCAAACTGGCTCTCTAATGTTTTACGTATATTACTTTAGGAACCCTGATCAGGTGGAAGGGCAGAATAAAGATGTCTTCAAACAAACAAACAAACTTG